CTGGATAACAAGAACACCATTCCTGTATAATGGAGTTTTCCCATCATAAATTCAACAACACTTGTGGATGCACTACAGGAAAATCACCCACTTCCGGCGGAATTTGACCAATTTCCTACATAGTAAAAACCGGCCTGGCCGGCTCTGATTCGCCTCTTAACGCCATCCAATGCTCGCACAAAATAATTTGTCATTGTACACACCCAGTGTACAAGAAAAAAAGAAAAAAAAATTATCTTCACGTGATTGTTGTCCGGGCTCCACACATAACGCTTTTTCTAAAATGATGTGGCCTCTATTTTTTTTGACATATTTAGATCAATTAAAATAAATTTACATATGTATTATATACTTAAAACTTAATACACATTATATACTTAAAACTTAAATCCAAAATTACTTAATTTATAACCAAAGCTCCTAACGGACCAAACAGAGCTGCGTACACTACTTGCTGTGGCCTCTTCTTCGCGAAATCAAATCCCTGCAAACGACTATTTGCTTCTTCCACCGCTCTCATTCCCTAAGCTTTCCTCATCATGGACAGCCATTCCAGCAAGATTCCTGCCAAAGCTCCCATTCCCCTCTGTTCTCAACTCCGCATCGACTCTCTGAAACCACTCACCGCCTCCCTCCTCGAGAAGAACAAGGAGGTTGTCGGCGTCATCTTACACTTCAAGGAGGAAATCAGGAAGAACCCTGAGCTTTTAGTTCTCGTACAAGACTACTTTGATAAGGGTCTCCACACCCTCCACTTCTGCAACGCCCTCGACATGTGCTTCGAGAACGCCCAAAACGCACAGCTCTTCCATCGACCACGCTCTCCTGCATTTGGAAGAGAAAATCGAAGACGAATTGAACCGTTTCAAGGAAAGCGTTTATCTCTTCACAAAAGAATTCCTTGACATCTTCCAGTTAGTCCACCAACACAAAATCTCAAAGCTGGAGACCTTACTAGTTAAAAAGAAGAGGCTTGACAAGAAGCTCAAATTGTTCAAGACAAGCAGGAAATTGTTTTCCGTGATTTTTGCCTCGGCGTCTGCCGTTCTTCTGATATTCTCAGTCGTCTCTGTTACTGTCGGCGCGCCGTCTATGCCAGGAGAAGATGATAATTAGCGCATGAAAAAATGGAACTTTTGCTTCGATTAATGAAATGGATGAGTTTTGGGCTATGATGAATACGTTAGGGGATCAAATAAGTTATTTGGTTGAGAAGGCAGAGTTGAATTTTAGTGATGTGGAGGCCGTGAGATCTGTGATGGGGGAAATTGGGAAACAGATGGAGTTGTTTATGAAGAACATTGAGCATTTGGTGGCGCAGGCAGATCAGTGTCGGCGAGATATAGAGCGACCGAGGTCTGTTCTGTACGACCCAATTGATGACGAGGCATAGGAGTAATAATTACTGGTTTTTTATTCTGCTGCTCAATTATATATATGTTTTTCCCTGTGATTCTGCATGACATATTTCTGCAATTTAATATTCTGGATGGCACTTTTATCCGCCTCCGTCCGTCGCCGTCCGCCATCTCCGACCACCACTGACCTCAGCTTTCGCTGCAGTGTCCATCTTAATGTTGTCCTCGGATATCTCTGTGTTGCTGTTGCTGTTGCTGTTGCGTTGTTATATTATTGAAGTTTTCTTCAATGTTATAATCTATATTTGTCGGTTAATAAATCCTATTTTAAGCAGTTGGATATGTTTCTGATAGCTTTTGAGAATTTTACTTTGATGCCATTCATTATTTCAACAAGGATGAGGCCGTATCGCTTGTTCGTTACTAGAAGATTAGGGTTTCTTTTGGGAAAAAAATATTGCTTGCGAACATCAAATACATGCAATCAGGAGTCATTACGTCACTCAATACACAAAGTACTGCATGACATGGCTCCTGATTGAGGTTAATTATTCTGTGTGGAATATGAACGCCGTACAAAGACTAATAAGAATGCGTCACGTCACCCTCTGCTTAACTCAGCTCGGTATTGCTCGGTGCCGCGGCTCGGTACCACTCTGTACCTGGCTCGGTATTATTGACGTGACACATTATAGTTGGTTTCCGAATGGTAAACTGTGTTCGCCGTTCGCACAAAATAATTTCTCCCTTATTAGCCTTTGGATGCGTTCGATGTTCGCACGTAATGATCTCTCTTTTGGGATAGTATTTTTAATATTTTTAAGATAATTTTTAAAATAAAAATGTCTTAAAAATAACAAAAGATATTCCCAAACTAAGCTAAATCTCTTAATCCTCTTTCTAATTAGTAAACTCACATAGAATCATAGTACGAAATGCTTAAGGGCAAGTTTAAATCAATCTTTATTTTTAAGATATTTTACATATACATAGCAATTAACATCATCTTTTTTTTTTTTTACATATTTGCCATAATTTATATATTAAAAGATAATAAGAAATTAATTAAGATTTTAACTTGATAAATAAGTATGGCATGATAAATTAATTGATTAATTAGCTTGATGATAATTAAATATTTAGATTGAATGTTAGTTAATTAGGGTTTAGTTAATATTATTAATAAAATATGTTAATTAAGCATGAACAAATCAAATACTTAATATGAAATTTGACTCTAAATAAGACACAATAGAGAAAAGATTCATATAATCTAACCCCAAGTAGTGGGGTAAATGTTTGTTATTATTGGGGTAAAAAAATTAGTAATTTAAGATAATTAAAGATTAATTTAAGTGTTAAGTGGATTCATTAATATTTATTAGTATTAATTATATATTTAAGACTGAAATAATTAATCATTACATAATTACCAAGAAATTGATAATTATCAATTTATTTAGGTTAATTAAAGTTACATGCTATAAAATATGTTATAAATAGTGCGTCATTTTCTATATGATAGGAGGTTCGAGAGTTGAAATAGCTAATGAACTCCATTTCCATTTTCAACAATCACTATTGATAATCATAATTAGCAACCGCTACCACCATTGTCAGACTCTCATCATCCAATTATTATTATTTTACTACTAACATACAATATTGATGTTGAGCTTTAATTTCCACTAGTCAGCACCTGATTAATGTAATCTTTATAATGAAAATCAAATCATTATTTTCAATTATGTTTAATCTCATAATCTTCAATTGCAAACAAGGGAAGATTATTGTATCTTCTATTATTTATTAGATTCATTCAAATAGATCTGACCCCATGATTATTTCTCTTTTTTGGATTTCCCACAAAAAAAAAAAAATTATAATATCTCACATTTGTACTTGCTAGATTTTCATACAAACTTAACGTATCAAACACATACTTTACTATTGCAAATCTTTAACATATAACACCATATAACACTTTTTTGGTTGTTTGTGGGAAATATTCCCATCATAATAAAACACATATTTAGTCGCCATAAATTTTATGACATGTAATATGATGCAGCGAAGATTGGTGACTGGAGCGGATGCAACGAAGGCCGACAACTGAAACTTGGAAAGAACGTTAGTAGAGAACAAGAGAAGAACAAGAGAGAAAAACAGAGGGAGAGATAGATGAGGTTTCTGTAGATTGCTTCAATTGTAAAAAACTATCCACAATTCTTTTTCTTTCCTCTATATGTATCTTCTCTGAGCTGTACTAAAAAGATCATAACAAAATAAAAGTGTTATCAGTACTATAATGCAGAAAATAGGAACTAAGGTTGTGGCTAGTGCCAAAGTTTGTTATAAAGGATAAGTTGCCCGGTAGGGCCTCCGGTACTATCATGTTCCGTATCATAATAGTTTGACACCGTCTGTAAAATATATTCTCAACATACTATAAAAACTTTTATTCAATGGCTCACAATTAATCTCTCAATCATCAATAACAAAATATAGGTGGTGGAGGCCGAACTCGCTTTGGAGGATCATATGTGTTAGATGGAAGAACTTCACATTTAAATTCTACAACTCTTAGATGAGTCTGAACAACAAGAACACCATTCATGTATAATGGAGTTTTCCCATCATAAATTAAAAAACACTTGTGGATGAACCCAAGTAAGCTTTTTATTTAAATTGTCAAATAAATTTTAATTTTATAAATAACATTAAATATAAAAAATATTCCAAAAGGCACACCAAGAAGATATCCTCATTGGAAAACTAATATAACCATGTTCCTTATTAGAAAGATCTCATGAGGGCAAGTGATGGGCATTACTTCCGCTCATAATCTCTAGAAGGTGGTCTTGGTAGGCAGCTTTTGGTGGATTTGATTATCACTAGGAAGACTCCACGAGAGCAAATGATTTAAAAATTCTCTCTTTACTCATCTAAATATCACAGTAGTCAAAATTATAGATTTTTTTATTATCCAAAAGTCTCCAAAGATAAAAATCCTAAAAATATTGAAAATTCAGAAGATTTAAAAGCCTAAAAAAGATATATATTTTTTATTCTCTAAAAAATTTGGAGGGTTAATCCTTATAAGGTACATATTTTTTTTAATTACCCAAAAATTTGATAAAGCTAAAAGCCTAAAAAAATTTGTGTTTCTTTGAGTAAAAAAAAATCTCATATTTTTCCAAAAAAAAAAAAAAAATCTCATACGTCTAAAAACTTTCATAGGAATAAATTACTTTTATAGTTCTAAAAAAATCTAAGAAGGTTAAATATATAAAAGTTTATGTATCACCTTGCAGAAAAGTAAATATTCATACTTTATTATGATATATAATATTATAGTTTTATTCTAAAAAAAGAAACAACAATGAAAACTGAAAAGTAAAGTGAAAAAAAAAACTGCTTATAATATATATTCCAATCCTTTGCGGTGCAATTTAACTAAAATACTCCTATGCAATAAACGGCAAAGATTCTACGTGGTAGTGGAACAGACGCGTACGACTTTATAGTTATTTGAGGTGTAGGTTAAAACTTATATGCCTCAAGTCCAACATAATTGGACAGGGGACTTCTATATAGGCTAAGAACTGTACTTCAACCATCACTTCGCGGCTTTCGGCTTCTGGACGCTCCTGTCATCGCCGGTGAGGTCTTCTGGTTTCTCCGATGTTCTTTCGCCGTTTCAGTTCACCTTTTCTCGGCGGCTTCTGTTTTTAGCTTCTAGCATCTATTGGTACTCTCTCTCTCTCTCTCTCTCTCTCTCTCTCTCTCTCTCTCTCTTTGAGAGCTTCTCTTGACATCGTTGGTCATTAGGCGAGTTAGGATATATTTTTATTGTTTTGCAGTGCTTTTGGGGCTATTATAATACCACATTTGCTTAATATTGTTATAATTGAGCATTTAATCTAGTTGGAATGTTGGTATTGCGGTGTTTGTAGTTCTGAGGAATCTCATTAGTTTGTAGGATCTATCTGATATCTTTGTTCCATTGTGGTTTATTAGCTGAAGGAAAAATTCGTTCTCATGTTTTTTTATTTGCATTTCGACTTTTGAGTAATCTTAGTTGTGAAAATCTTCTGAGGACATTTGCCGACATTTCTTTCTGCTTCCTGTAGTTTTCAGCGCCATTTTTGTGCTGCAATGACACAATGAGACTTGGAATATCTGCATTTTTTTTTTTACTTTATGAAGCCTGGTGCATGAGAAATTATCAACGAGGATAACGTATGCAGTTCATGGCTGTGCTACAAGTGACATAAATAAACAAACTAATAAATAATACAAACACACACTAATACCACTAAACCCATCCTGTATTTTGTAGTGCGCATTGGTGAGAGAATGGCTTTCGAAAAAAGTTTTAGAGTTAAAAGGCGGGAGTTAAGAGTTTTATCTAGAGTAAGTTTTTTATGCAGATCTTTCATGAGGTCCGATCTATTTTATGATGATAATACAGTTTTGCCAAATATTTCTTGCATATGTTTTCCTACAGCTGCCTGAAAGTTGTCTGGTAGGATCTTGTTTGGAGAATATTGTTTTTGGAGTATTTGATTCTGAAGGTGAAATAGATCACACAATTCATGGAAAGCACCATGCACTATCCATTTCAGCATTGTCAGGGGAAAAAGCTGATAAGATTATGTACATGTTTGATAAAGGCCTTTGTACTGTTCCTGTGGTCCAAGTTCCAAGCGAACCAAAAATCTTCATTTTTTCAGCATCCCACTCCAATTACCCTGATCTACACACAATCATTAAGGTTTTAATCCACATCTATCCCATTTAATTGCTTTTTCACTGTCTTTTCCATTGTTGAGTTCTCATAATACAGGTCAATGTTGTGCAAGAACCCAAATTGAACATTGCCACATCAATTGAACTAGTTGATAGAAATCCTCCAGTTCCATCCAATGAAGGGCTATCTGAAAGTCAAGATCATTCTCTGTGCTCCCCAAGTCTGATATGCATATTGAAATCATTTGTTGATTATACAGCGGTAAGTGCAATAATGCTGTTCTTGTTTATTAGAATTTTGTTATAAACGCACAAATGCTCTCGTTATTGCTCTAAAAATGCTGTATCTTACATTTAGATATCAAGGAAAAGAGATTCAGCACGGCTAATATATTTTATAATAAGCATATGGTACTTTTGGATCCTTAGGTTCATTTTATAAGCGCTCATTATCTTGATCCTTGGCAACAATCCATTCGTCTGGAGTACGAAGGATTGGTAGATTCTGGAGGCAAATTTGCTGATTATATGAAGAGAGGCTATCATTGGATTCTTATTTTTTTGGTAATGAATATCAGAATGTTCTATATTTTCCAGCACCGAATGCTTCAGTTGTGGACTTCTTTTTTATCAAGCATTTCTTGGATTCTTCTTAAGGGTAATTGATGTTAGCAAACTAGCTCATATTTGAGTTCTTTAGTGGGCTATTTATCAACATATGTACAGACTTAGCTCATGGATATTCCTTTAGTAACTTCCTTCTTAATGGTACCTTGTTCTTGTTAAGCGCGAAAGTTTTCTTTACTTATTTGTGCTACATGAGAGTTATCTCAGTTTTCTGTATAAGGTGATCTTCTATGAGAAAATTTTATGATGACAAATCATATTTTCTTTTGAAATCCAAATTTTTTCTTCTTAACCGGCGCATCATCCTTGTAAGGTTCCTTTGACTATTACTAGAAATGTTCTGTTTATGTCCCATACTTTTCTCTCTTAGAAACTGGACGATGAAGCTGCTGAACTTGGATATCAGGTTGGGCAGCTTGAGAGAAACCTAAAAATACTCAATTATCAAAGGGAGAGGATTGTAGAAGAAATTCTTGAGCTCAAAGGTTCTACAGTTCAGCCTAAACTCTTTCTGAGCATATATTTGACTGAAGTGCTTGTGACATTATTATTATTTTTGCTTCTTGTAATAGTGAGGTGCTTTAATAAATTACATCTTTTAATAATTTCATCTACTACGAAATTTGAGTGGGTGAATAAAATATGCACGTATTATTATTAGTTTTACTTGAATTTGTATGCTAGGGACTAGAGAAGTGCGTGGTTGCTTGGTGCACAAAAACAGCTGTTTCCTTTAGTTATATTTGATATTTTTTCAATCTATTCAAGCATTTTTCTTTTCACTTATGCTTGTACCGTTAACAAAGCAGCTTCTTTTAAGGTAAAGTTGGAGGTGTGAGCTCATATGAAAGCTCTGAGAACAAAATTATTCTGTTCTGTATAACAATGTACTTGTGATCTTCGTCGTCACCTAAATTTCTGTTTGCTGATTTTGAATATCCCCAAATTGGTAATAAATTATGCAATTGATTCTTTTTTTTTTCCCTTTAATTTCACTATAATTATATAAACAAGTAATTCCCTATGATTTTTCTATTAAAGATAATTTGAGCCATCGTTGTACCTAAATACATCATTGAGAGACATCAATCTAAACATACTCATGCCTTTGTGAGTAGAAAAATGGTGTCTAGATACAGACGATGCTGCAGAGTTGATTTAATTTGTCATTTTTTTGTTTTGATAGTCTACATATTGAGATACATTTGTTATGAAGACTTGATAAAGATTACACTATATTTTGTTCATATACCTAATTTTTTTACTCATAGTTTAATTGATTTTAAGCGATCAAAGTCATCATTAACATTTTCTCAAACAAGCCCTTTTAAATTTTAATTAGCCATATAAATTCATCTAAGTTTTATTTGTAATATGATTTGCAGTTTTTGTAGATCAACAACAATTGAGCCAAATTCACTTGTTAGTTAACACTAAAGAGCATGTAAGAAAACAAGTAGAAGAACAAGGAAACACTGCGGCTGCTGCTTTTTTTCACCTTTTTTATGCCAATACTATAGAGGGACCGCAATTTGACTACGTGGATGATATTATTGGTGTTGTTGCTCTTCTTGGTATAGTTAGTGATTATAAACTTAGCAGGTAAAAATTTGTGAACCTTAAATTTAAGCTTTCAAATTTTCTTCATGAAAATAATATTGTGCATAAACCTAGTTCACATTCTTATTTATTAATTATTATTTTTCTTGTGTTGACAGTATATTGGCAGAGTATTTAGGTGAAAGCTACATGCTAGCAATTGTCTGCAAATCGTATGAAACTGCTAGAGAATTAGAGAAGCATAGTGAAGATGGAGCAGTCAACCATAATTGTGCTCTGCATGCAGCAGCTGCTGCAGTAGGAATTAGAATACAGAGGCGGTTCAATGTCATTTGCTTGGAAGAGATAAGGTAGTTTATAGAACTGTTGATTCAAAATTATTTTCTCTCATTTGATGTCAATGTCTTTTATTCATTACATACAACATAATTCGTACTTAATCTTCGTTGTACTTCACGTAGGAAAAATTTGTCAATGTCTTTTATTCATTACATACAACATAATTCGTATTATAATATTTAGAGGAAAAAAATAATAAAAGGAAAGAAGTTTATGAAAAGTTGAAAACCTAGCCATTCACTTGTAAAAGTAGGTATAGATGTCAACGATAAATCCATTCCTACGTCTCCCACTTGATTAAGGACATAACTCCTAGAAGTACAAGAAACAACACATTCAACTAGAGCAGTAGTTATAATTAAAGTATATGTATTTTGTACATGCTTCAGAACTTTATTTACAATCATAAAATCTCCTTATATTTTCCAATTAACTAAAATAAAATAAAAGAATTGGCCCAAATAAATCCTGTGATAGGCCGGTTCACTCTGAACTGGCCCAGGAGCCGGCCCAACGGCCGGCTCAATGCTACAGGAGGCTGAACAAGGGGTCTGCCCCCTTTGTTTTGCCGCCCACGTGTGGGGCCCACTTGGAACAATTGAGGAAGGAGGGTTGGACGGCTAGGGAGAGAGGAAATTTTTGAATGAGAGAGATTTGAATTAGGAAACTAATTGTATTAATAGGAGAATTTATTCTATGGTTAGGTTTTATGCTTTGATTTGTTTTCTCTTGAAGTTTCTTTGGCGTCTTGAGCTCTAGGCACCTTGTCTAGAGATTGGGAGAGAACGATCCTCCTCTTGAATCGATGATCAAGTTGCTTTGTATTTGTTTTGGCTTTGTTTCTCTTCTCGCAATCTACCGTTTTGGGGCTTTTTTCGCCCAAATTTTGCATTACTCTCACTGTTTTCACCAATTAGAGATAGGTTTGCTTTCGAACTCAAGTATTTCCCTTTGGGTTACTTGCAAATTCAAGTCTTTCCTATCATCCTGCAAACTATGTTGCACCGATACACCTATTTATGAAGGCGTGCTGTATCCGATACATCGATACAAGGATACGCCTCCGATACTCCACCGATACGTGTCGGATACGCCAAAGACGTATCCAGTTCAAATACTATTTAATTTCAAAAGGACATGCGGATCCGATACACGTGTCCGTTGAAAAACAAAAAGAAATTCGAAAAAAAGATGCGTCGTATTTACTTCCGCGGCTGCGAGCAAAGTTCTCTCATTTCCGAGATGGATTTGAGTCTCTTGATGATATGAGAATATTAGAAATTACTAATCTTTCACTTGATGAGCCTGAATTAAAAGCTATGATATTTATTGAAGATGATATAGAAGTTCAAAGACAAACCATTGAAGAAGCTAATCATATCATTCCTTCAATTGAATAGTTGAAACTTTATGTGTTAGACAATTTATGTTTATGCTTTTGTTGTTGTACTAGACATTTAATGCTTACTTATATTTTGATATTATAAGCTACAAGGCTACAAATGATGTTGTTGTCATTTTTGTTTGTAATTTCAAATATTATGCTTTGATTGCTTTCTTAATTTTTATGTATGATTTATAAATTATGATGTCGTGTCCGCGCCGTACCCGTATCCTGTATTTTTAAGAATTGAAGTGTCCCGTATCCGTATCGTGTCGTATCTGTGTCGTCGTATCCGTATCGGTGCAACATAGCCTGCAAATGATGCAAGAACCAAGACTAAAAGAAATCGCAAATCTCCCTCACAGAAGCCGTCAAACCCGCTAGAAATGTATTAACCGGTAAGTCTCTACACCAGAAATCCTTCAAAAATCTATCATGATTCCGTAAAGCTTGCCTTGATCCAGTAATCAAAACATGCCTCCAACAGATTCCATGGCTTGGATGGCAACAGAAAACAACCCCATGTGTGAGTTGTTTGGTTTCAAGATTACCACCTTCTAGTGATTGATGTTAGTTAAAAATCTATTCATCAATAATCATATAAATAAATTAGCATCAAATATGTTAAGATTGGTCCTGTTTTAGATTAGTTGTTCCTGAGGATCTTGTTGTCTTAGTAGGTTCATTTTTCTATAAATATAAGATGTTGTAATAGTGATTAGATGCCAAGGAATAAAGGAAATTTCCTATAAATCACTCTCTCCCTCTATTCCCTCCCTATCTCCCTCTTCCAAGAAGCTCAAGGAGCTTCTTATTCCTCCCAATATTTCGTAATATGTGGTATCAAAGACTGGTGGAGGCGATCTCGAAGGAGAAAGGTTCTTGTCCAAGAAACGAGCGACAGGAGGTCATGCGACTCATGCGGTACACGCAGCATCAGGGGTCCCGAACGGCTTCATGATCTGCGCAGGTGGGCACTGTGCGAATGGTGCGAGCGGACCCGCGAGGTACTTGTTGGTGATGCGCTAATGCCAGGCAGTCGCGCAGGTGTGGGAAAACGCGGGGCACAGGCCGGACGCGTGGGGCTTGGGGCATAGGGAAAATGAGCATGGAAGTTTCCTGTAATCGCTCTCTCCCTCTTTTCCCTCTTCCCTCCCTACTCTCTCTTTCAAGAAGCTCAAGGAGCTTCTTCTCCATCTCAAGATTCATAACAATATATATATATATATATATATT